CTTAACCACATTACCTCTGAGCCCTCAATCCTATTCCTCATCTGTAGTCAATCATATTTAAAAACCCAGAACAGGAAAAAAAAAAATTGTCCTCATTATTTCCACACCATTTCTGTTATCTTAAGCAAGCAACTTAGTTCTTGCTCCACATTGATGCCCTGCCTTCATTTTTTTTTTTCCCTCCCTCTACAGGCCTGCGTAAATAGAGAGGAGCCAGAGGATGGTAAACCTCGTGCTCCACCATCAAAGGTGCTGCAAGAAACAATCCCCTGCGGCCTGGATCTTTGGCAGAGGAAATGCAGGATGGTGAACTCCATTCCATTTTTTGTTCCTTGTCTTCTTTTCAAATGCAATGAATGTACATTGAAGAACGGCCATGTGGTTGGTTTTTAATTCTCCAAGTGCCCTGATGAAGCATTCCTACCATAGTCTGGTGACACTAGCCAATAAACAGCACAGGCCTGAAGACCTCAGGCAGAACAAGTTCATCAAGAGCCTCTCTCAAGAGATACAGTTGAAGTTGGAGTTGCTTCCTTGCACCATGGATCCATAAGGAAGGAAGCACTGCATAACACTCTGGGACATTTCATGTGTTTTATAGTTAGTTTCTTCCCCTTCTCCTTTCCCTTGTTCTGAAAAGGGCCTAATCCCCTAACACAACTTCATCTCCTCCCTGCCTATATAGATCTAGGTGGGGGCTATTCACAGTTGAGTTATTTAGGCTTTTTTTTTTTTAAGTTATAGGTGAGAGCTCTTCCCTTCTTCCCCCCACCCATCCAGGACTCCCTTCCTCATCCTGTATTCTTTAGACATGGTCAGTGCCTTAGCAGTAGGCATTTGTCCTGGATTTCAATGTTCTGTGACCCAACTCCTATAACGCTGAACAGCTAAAAACTAGTGCGAGCACCAAATCTTTACTCAGCATGGAGCTTAGCCCCATTTCAACATGCCAAGCCATTCTCCGAGCAGCTGTAGCTTACTCTGGGTTTGCCCATCTACATTAAATTAACACTGGTGTAGCCATATACACAGCTGAAACCTGCTGCAGGACACTGGAAAACGCCTAGTTCTTCATGGATCACAGATGTGTTTGTACCTGCCTTCTTCACCAAGCAGCTACACTTATTCCAGGCACAAGCCTGGCAACATCCTGATGGAAGGATTTTTTTGTGACAGGATAATTTTGAGGGGAGGGATTGGGCTGAAGGAAAGGGGGAATGTAAGTGTAATTAAGTGGCATTAATGAGCTGCAGCAATTAAAAACAACAATGACAGTTTTGTTATCTGTGTCCTCCAGCATGTTAAGTGTCAAGCAGAGAAAGAACACTTGTCAGCCATCCATGGTGTTCTTTGGCTGGTATGTTCCCAGTGCCATTGCAATTCTTTATCTTGCCTAATCTGTTTGAGATTACTTAGCATTTTTGAGTAATGCTTTTCAGAAGAGTCAAGCTAGAAGCCATGCTAGGGAAGAGAAGTGTGAGGGAAGCATTAAAAGAAATAAAAACATTAAGTACTAAGTCAAAGACAGAATGATGCACCTTTCTTTGCCCCATTCCAAAGGGCCCAGGAAGCAAAATCCTCTTCTATAAATGCAGAAGTATAAGCACTAAGAAAACACTTTTTGTTTCTGTGCAACTTCCATTTCAGATACCCACTGCAACCTAACATCCTCAGCTCTGATCAGGTACAGCTGTGAGTAAAAATGTTGTCTTTGTCTTCCGTAAGTATTTTCCTTCTTTTAGCCAGCAGAAGCCATAGCTTCTGACTGAACAGACAACTGACAGTTGCTGGTTTGATATTAGTTTCATCATTTGAGGAAGAAAACGTTCAACTCTCTTTAAAACAACTCTGCCTGACAAAACGTGCTACCTCCCATATTAGTCAATACTGTGCCACTACCAAGTTAAAGAAATAATCAGTGGAACACAAGCTACTACACCATTCAGCATGCATAGCAGTGTACATACACAAGCTCTTCACACTTTCTCCACCACTTCTTCGATTCAGTTCATTTCTGTATTACACTAATTTGTACTTGCCCACCTGATGCTCCCTGGAGGTGCAGAAAAAGGAATGAAAGAATACATATCCTCTAGTCAATGAGCTTGTTCCATGAAAGACTTCCATTTATTTGGGGCTTCTGAAATTAATCTTCCCTTTCCTCATCGGAAAACACTGACTTTACACTTCTTGGTTTAATACTGTTCATTTTCCTCAGAGAAATATTGTCTGGATACCAGCATTCTTTACTGGTCTTGTTTGAGAGCAACCAAAATTCAGCACAAGTGGTGGAGAAAGCACAGCTTCAGCTTTGAACAGTTGGAACATTTCACTAGTAGTTTCAGGAAGGAATTCTTCTAGATAGTAGTATGAAGTCAGAAGGAACTCTTCAAATTATTTGAGGTCTGCATGTTTTTAACACTGTACCTTTCAAACTGACCAAGCCTTGATGCCACATTTACTAAATGAAACTGAACAAAAACCCTTGCTAAGTACTCTACAGAGACTAAGCATCAAACTATGCACTTAACAGCATGCCTCCTGACTTTAATACACACTGGTAAAGATCTATTAAATAAATACAAGTGTGATGACCAAGAAGCTTCATAACTACCACCCTATGTTATGATGTACACAGGTAATTAAGTACCTTTTAATAGAAGTAAAATAAAGGTTCAGGTAAGCCTATAATATTTAGTATCAATGACTGCCATAAATCATCAAAAAAAAAAATCAGTCTGAGAAGAAAGAAAAGTAAGACAAGCTACCAAGGCTCATATTCCACACTTAATTACCTTTGCGAGTTTTCATTAGTGGAACCATTCATCCTTCATACTCTGACAACCCTTCCTCCTGGCCTGTTTGTGCTAGACATACTCCAAGTACCGCAAGGTCACGCAATGACCCTGTTCTGTTAGGGCAGGGACTCCCAGTCCTTTGTATCTCCAACGTGCTGCAAGATTAAGGAGCAGCTGAAGACTTTGGTCCAGTGGGTTCCCTTATCTCCAGGTTCGGAGTGCCCTCTATTGGGGATAGGCATCACTTGAGATACTGCTAGTCAAAACAAACACATACCCATTTCTGAAGAGATATCTCACCATAGAAAAAGAGGCTCCACCCTTCCAGGTGTGGAAAAGCCACAATTTTCAAAGCATGAAACAAAAGCAGCCCCAGAAATAGCTGATATATTTACAGCCTTGTAGTCCAGTTGATGCTCAGGCAAGGTTCGAGCCACACCCAGCTAAAGTTTAGGAGGAAATAACACTATTCCAACACTGAGATGGTTTTCTTTTCCCTTCTCAGATTAGCACAGCTACTTAAACTCTAAGCTTTTGCTGTTATTTACAGAGGCAAAATAAAGCCAATGATAGCTTGAACCCAGACACAACACCTAACTTGGCATGGTGGTGCAATTCTGCTCCCTATGAAAGCTGCTGCCTGGCAAAGATCCACCAATTCCTCCCAGAGTTGGAGAATTTAAACTGATCAGCTAGTAATTTCTCTCATCCTTGCCAAGAGTTGCATGAATATCTTCTTCTGAAGGCAAGGATGAAGAGATCTGCCCTCCACATGGCCCAGGGATAACTGACACCTTAAAGTTACTAGAGACAAGCCTGTAATCTAGGGCTGGAACCAAACAGAAGCAACTCCAGAGCCAGTGCTCCAGCCTCCACATATGTGTTTAAGAGCCATGTACCAAAACTCTGGATCAAGTTCAGATGCAGAATTATTCCCCACTTACACAGTTTCATGTATCAGGTCCTTATCCTCCTGCATCCTTATGCCTTCTTTTGTGGTTAAGACAGTCTGCAGGACCCACATGCTGTCTTGTGAATTCCAAAAGGAAGCTAATGGATGGTAAGAACAGTTTCTTCTCTAACTCATGCTCTCGTAGTACTGAAGGACAGAAGTTCAAGTGATCTACAACCTGATGTCACTCTAACATTTTAGGACACCACTACACCCCCTCCCCCAGTAGGGCATTATACTAGATATAATCAGATACTCAGACCTCTGTAAAATAAAACAAAAGAGCTTTTTATTCAGTGAAAAAGAACAGTTAATTTTTAAAAACATCTCTCTTCCCCTGCAGTTAACAAGCTATAGCATTGACAAAACTTTCTCTTTTTGGCTACATGATAGAATGTTCCATTTAAAATAAGAATCATCAGTCTAGCCAGCAAACAGAAGTCCTAAAATGGCAAGTTTCCATAGTTATCTTCTAGTAGGATAATACCCAACAGCCAGGGAAGAGTCTCAGTAAGAAGCTTCCATGAGATCATCTAGTGATCCTAACCATCAAAGAGCCTTTCACCTTCTGTCTAGGGAGGTCTGCTGAGAGTAAAGGAATCGGACAGTCTACAACAGGCCAGACTTTTCACTTAATTATGTGGATTTGAGCATTATGGAAACATTCCATCAACTGTTGAAAATTCAACAAGGGGGGGGGAAGAGAGCAAAGAGCTCAGAAGAAAAAGCTAGATTCTCCCTCCCTCATGATACATTGCTGCTGAGTATTCTAGCCTCAACAGAATGCATTTTGTATAAAAATACTCCCATTTTGACTCAGACTTACTGAAGGAAGCCATCAACCCTAGCAGAATAATCTCTAAACAACTGCTAAATGAGAAAAAGAACCAGAGACAGTCTACTGAAAACAGCCTTTGATTTCAACATAGAGCAGGGATTCATTTGAGAATGCAAGAACTTAGAGAAGGAGAATCTCTATCAATAAAAGCCTCTTTTTGGAGGACAAAAGAAACCAGCAGAGTTCATCTGGAGCAGTCCTACAGCAAGATCAGCAAGAGTACAGCAAACCAGCAACTCTTACCAGAAACACTATGCATAGGAGGAACATTTAGTAAGTTTTTACACTCATGCCAAGCTACTCTGCAAGTAAGATTGCTCTAGCATCAATTGAACTATTTACTTATTTTCTTCCTCTGCTGCACTATCAGTGAGTTGTATAGACTCATCTTTCCCCTTGGGCACATCATGGTTCAGGACATGAAAGTCCTCACACTTCCCCGGATGACTGCTCTGCAGATAGGACACAATCTCAAATTGAGGGCACATTCTCCACAAGCTACCAGGTGGCCACAAGGAACAAACACAACAGACACATCTCTGTCCATGCACACTTTGCACATCCTCTCCTCTTGCAGGCGTCGGAGCTGTTCTTCTGTGCTCATCCGAGACTCATCTTTACCAAAAAAGAAAAAAAAGGCCCAAACTGTTAGCATTACAACAGCTCCAGTGTGCCAGTCCCTGTCATCTTAGGCAGTCACACTGCAACTCGCTCATCATTTTGCTCAGAGACTGTGAAAATGGCAAATGTACCTCTCAGGCAAGTTTAAGCTGAAAAACTACAGCTATTATAGACTCTGGCTTATCTACACAAGATTCAGCATCTATGCACACTGGACTGAGCAGGGACATGAGATCAACCAAATCTTTTGTAGAACAGTCTGCTTCACAGTGGAACTCTAATTCATTAAAAGGGTCTCTGTGTTGAGTTACTATTCAAGCTAGCACACATTCCCCTTCAGGATTAAAAAAAAATGAACAAATACAATGACCACCGATACCATTAGTATAAAAACCATCCCAATTATGCCTAGGCTCAATTTCACCACCACTGTCAGCCCAGTGCACCTGGTTCCTTTTGTTGCACAGATTGCATTTCTCCTCTTGAACTTGATGTTTCAGTCTCTCTCTGAACAGCATCTGTATAACCAGGAAAGAAGATGGCATTAAATACTATGCCTTTCCTCCCTCTTCAGGCACTGCTGTTTAAAATTGTGAAATATCCTGGATTTCAGTAGCCTTAGGTCAAAAACCTCCTTACTCTGATGCTGAGCTTCACCAGGATGAGTGTTTGAAGTTATGTTCTCTGTGGTGCTTCAGTCACTATTTATGTTAACCTCTCTACCAAGACGTGTCCATATCACATTGTCTCCTCAAAGCTGGCTTATCTATCGGATATCAGAGCCATCAGCTGCTCGTTCCTGCTCCTGTGCTATTTAATCACATTTTTGTTTGTTGAGGTTTTTTTGCCTTAGCTTAGATGTCAGACCAAGATATGGAGACAGGAGCTTTGGAAAGCAGGCTTACCACCAGAGAAAGCCTGTGTGGAACTACATCTTCAAATAAACTTCACTTGGCAGACTCCATAAAACAGATAACACAAGACAGACATAGATAAGTTAACGAGAATAGGTATTATCCAAACAAACAAGTATGGCTATTTCTGATCAAGTCACTGATTCAATTTTAAATAAGCTTGGAGTACTCATGCATCCTAGAAGCCTTGCTTCAGACAACTGCCTGCCTCTGCATCAGATGTGAATTTGTGCACAAGCCTTCGCACCGTGCAGCTGTCTGCTACTGCAGATCTAAGGGCAACAGAAAATATTGAGGATATCTACACCACAGATATAGTTATTGATACCCCAGTAATCACAGTTCCTTGGGGTTTCTTTAAAGCAGAATCTCATTCTTCAGCCTCTCAAAGAAAGGCAGGCTTGGGTACATTACTACTCTTAATTCCAGCCTAGGAAGAGAGAAGGCAGACACACAAGACACTCACAACAGTGCTCAAAATAAAGTGAATAAGAGATTAAACATCCACCAAGAATGTGAGTGTGCGAGTCAGGCATACCTCTGCTTTCCTCTGCACTGCCGCTCTCTTCCCAGTCTGGCTGAAGCAGATCAGAAATCAGTTCAGACTCAGAAAGGTAGAAAGTCCCAGTCAGCACATATTTATTCTCTACCAGGTTAGTTACCCAGGTGGGGTCAAAGCCCATCTGCAGGACATTCTGTACTATGGTAAACTGATCCAGAGAAGGAAGAGCCTGCAATTCGCAATTCCTCAGAGGATCTGTAAAGCAGTGAGCAGATACTTTACCAAAAAGAGGCGGAACTTAGGGCAAAAAGTACGCCACTCCCTGAAACTGTTATATATAAAATGGCATTAATGTATTCTAGAACATTCCTCAAGCTACCTTCATACCTTCAACATCCAGATTTACAGTTTTTACTTCCAATCATAATTCACAAGAAAGTCATCAAAAGCAATTTCATAAAAGCCAAAGAGAGACTAATTTTGGATTGTTTACTCTACTGTATCAGTGAACCAAGAACCAAGTCTCTCATGTTTGGCCCCAGTCCAGAACCCTTATCTCTGCTTCCACATCCCAGAACAGAAGTCTCAAAACTGCTTTCATGAAGATCAAGAGGGACATCCCAATTGAAGTCTCTCCTACCTCATAATCTAGCTCAACCATTCATCAGTAAAGACAGAAGCAAGGAAATTCAGCTGGCAGCCCGTTCAAAGGCTTAAATCTTTCTTAAGCTCATCCTATCAGATAGACTCTTGAAGAGGACGAGAAAAATCAGTTTTCCCACAGTTACGGGAGCCAAATTTCACCTTCTTAAATTTCCAAGAGCAACTGATGAATGGTAATAGATCCCCAGGATCAACACTTGCATAAACAACTAGACCTTCTAGCTGTTCTCTGTTTGGTCTCCTAACAAGTATGTTTAAAATGCTGTAGCCTGAAAGATATTACAGACAGACAACATCAAGAGCACGGACAAGTCAAAGGAAAGTTAGGCAAGCACCCAAAAGTCACATGATTATTCAGACTAGCTAAATGTCTCTAGTCGTAGATTAAGAGGTCTCACAAAAGCAAGCAATTTTGCTTCTTGTGCTAGCTACCGTTTCCTCAAATAAAGTGAAACAGCTTCTAGAATATCAAAACATCTTTCAAACACCACGTCTACAGAGTGCACAGTAGCTGGGGTGGGGTAGAAGTAAGACTACACCACTTTCAATAAAAGACAAAAGACCATGTAATTATAGCACTGACCTTGGGAAGCAGGGGAATCTTCTTCAGTGTGATCCCAGGAATCTCTCTGAAAATGTCACAAGACAGTCACAAAAGAGAAGCATGTGTTCAGAATTCCCCCTATCTATGAAACCTCCCATCCACTATATACAAAATATTCGTGACTCACTGGAGATAGCAGGGTGGTAGAAAAGGACTCCTGAACACTGCTAATAAACTCTCTCCCCCTTGACTGCAATAAAAATTCACACCTATAAGCAGAAAGATGTAAAGACATTAGTACATGATATCTCAAGTGAAAGCAGCAGTAGTAGTTTGAGTTTTCAAAGCAAAAGGGTGCTATCAGATTAGGAGCAGACTGCTATATTCATTAAAGAGGGAGGATCATGGCCTTTTTTCCCCTGCTCCTTGCATGAGGTGCAATAATAACAGGCTCATGATCCAACCTCCCCTTAAATCAGTCTTCATGTTTGGTCCAAGATGAGCTCACCTGCAACGTCCTTTGGAACGGTTCACAGAAAATGTTGTAATAGAGCAGTTCACAGAAAAAAACCACAAGAACTGCTACAGAAAAACAAGGTTCACAAAAATCTTTCTTTTTGTACCTCAGAGCAGCAGAAACCAAAGCTGTTCTTTGACACTAAAGAAAGTGATTTTAATTGAACTTTTAGATGGTGAACTCTAGGTTAAATTAGTAAATCTCAGGTCTGAACTGTGCCATTCTACCTTAGCTTGAGCATTTGATTTTGCTTTTCAAGTGAGAGCATCTAAATATTTAGGCTTTGTCACTTCTATTTATACAGTTCTTTTAAAAAAAAAAAAAGAACTAGTTACAGCTTAGACAACCATCATCCAGTAGGTTTCATCATTAACATAGAACACTCCAGCGATAAATCAGCCTTCAGAATAGAAGATGTGGCAATGCCTGGAGGAGCGTAAAAAGGAACTAAAGCCAACTGTCCTGGAGTTAATGAACTGTTGTAAGGGATAACACACACAGAGACACCACACAACAACTTTTGGGGGAGGGTGCAAAGGGAGAAACAGGAGAGGAGAGGCAGTTGAAGATATGATGATTAGGTTTTCAGGCCACTTTTTGATTCTTCCACATGTGAGGGGAGAGTAGGAGGAAGGCACTTTTGTAAGACAGTACAGACTAAGCGGCCAACCTAGAAACAAGTTTTCTATCTTGACCCACTACTAGGATCTGAAGATGGTCCCTTACTGTGCGACTCTGGCCTTGAGGATTCAGAACCTGTCTCTTGAGATTTCAGGGATTTCAGACTATTGCAACAGTTTACGCAGCTAAAAATGGTTGAACATACCTGACTAGCTTTTCACCTGTTCTAACTAAGTAGAAAAAAAATCTAGAACTAAGCTAATAAGTGCTGCTTCCAGCCTCTGTTATTACTGCTACACCTGTGAATCATTTGTCTCAAGTCTTATGAAAAAAGAACTTAGTGTGGAATGCATGGCATATCTTCTGGTCTTGCTACAAAAGACATTTGTCAAAAGACTGACTTACCCTGGATACCATTTGGCATGTTCCCTCCAAGGATCATCTCCAAACGACCAGTTCCTCACACCGCCATCACAGTAAAAACACCTCACTACATCCCCTTGTCCTGAAAAACACATCAAGAGATTATTTGACATCCGAGACACTATACGTTCTACTAGCTCCCGATGACAACACAGGCCACCAGACAGAACAGATGAGCACATGACAATTTACCAACACTGTGCAAGTTGTATAGAGGCAGAAATCTGATGAGAGTTTAAACTCCCAGAGCTGCAGCTGGTTGAGATGATTCCAGATCTGGGTCACAAGCTGACAGGCAGCATGCATTTGAGCTCCATAGCTCCCATGTATGCACATACTTACCCAATCCCCTCTTGCCTGCATTTAGAGTAAAGTCATAATTAATTATACCTATAAACATACTTTGTTCCCTAACCACAGTCTGCCACAACCAGCAACGGGCAGTCAGACAATGTACACAGCTTCTGTCTCATAAGTGTAAGAATTTGCCACATCACAGTCCCAGGCTATCCATCCGGCTACTGTGCTTCTCTTCACAGAAATCACAGGGGGAAAAAAAATAATTAAAGCTAAACACAGTTAAGACGACCTGCCTACAAATTCCCCGCCCTAAGGGCAATGAAACAGTGTCAGTAAAGGCTGCCGAGTGAGTTTGGGTCACACAATCTTCCAAACACTCGCGTGTTAGAGTACTGTTTGGCTTAACTCGAGTGCTCAGTTCCAGAGTTCTCCTGCTCAGGTGACTGCAGGGGAGTGCCATGTCAGACTGATGCTGCCTAATGGGTCCCCAAAGTCTCTGTGCTGGGCTCTCAAACAGCCGCTCTGCAAGTGATACATCAAGTCCAACACAAAACACAGAGGTTTTTAGCTGAAGACACCACTTTATAGTTTATTCGGTGTTCCTGGCCATTAATAAAAAGACAAAAGCAGCAGATAAGCTAATTTGCCTATAACGCTCTT